CCCGCCCCCGCAGGCCCCGAGCATTCCTCTGACTCCGAGTACACACTCTCAGAGCCGGACTCCGACGAGGAGGAAGACGAGGAGGAGGAGGAAGAGGAGACCACTGACGACCCCGAGTACGACCCTGGCTACAAGGTGAAGCAGCGCCTGGGCGGGGGCCGGGGCGGCCCTTCCCGCCGGGCCCCCCGCGCAGCCCAGCCCCCGGGGCCCCCAGCTCAGCCCTGCCAGCTCTGTGGCCGCTCGCCTCTTGGGGAAGCCCCCCCGGGCACCCCACCCTGCCGGCTCTGCTGCCCTGCTACAGCCCCCCAGGAAGCGCCAGCCCCCGACGGCAGGGCCCTCGGGGAGGAAGAGGAGGAGCCACCTCGGGCTGGGGAGGGCCGGCCGGCAGGGCGGGGGGACGAGGAGGACGAGGACGAGGAGGGCACCTTCCACTGCACGGAGTGCGAGGATTCCTTCGACAGCCTCGGGGAGCTGCATGGCCACTTCATGCTGCACGCCCGGGGTGAGGTGTAGGCGGAGCCCCCACCGGGGAGCTTGGCCGAAGGGGCGGGTGGGAGGAGGGGGCTGAGGGAACGGGGGTGGCCGCGGTGGTCGCCGTGGTCTGGGGACGGGAAGCGCTGGTCTGTGTTGTCTCAGCTGCAGATGTGTGAGGCCAGAATAAAAGCCGAGTTCCGTGTGTGTCGGTGCAGCGTGCGTTTGGGGCGGGGCATCCGCGTGTCCCCTCCGTGTGTGAGGCATGCGCTTGGCCGTTCACCCCCATCCCGCTGGTCCCCTTGGGCGAACTGTAGGGTTGTCATTGCCAAGATAATTAACGTGGATGCTGAGAGCTTACGTTCGGCGTGCTTTCCATGTATTTACTCACAGACCCGGTGAGGTGCAGGCTCCAACAGCAGAATTTTGTTTCTCGCTCTAGTAATAGTCCTGGGCGGGTGTTTTAGGTTGGCAGGCAGCCCTTCCCCATCTGGTAATTTGGGGACCCAGGCTGTCCCTGAAGCCTGTCTTCATCTGCATGGCCATGGCAGGGCAGCAGTGGCCTGGGTGCCTGGAGAGGTACACACACTTCCTCACAGGCGCCAGCCTAGAAGTGGCATGTACTGCTTCCATTTATGTTCCTTTGCTGAGGAATCAGTCACATGGCCACAGCTCCCTGCAAAGGAGTCTGGGAAAGGCAGTCTAGACAAGTGCCCGGACAGCAGAAAACGGTTGGTGGAGAACAGCTCGTGTTCTCTGCCACTTCGCTTAAGAACTTCACAGAGAGGACTTTCATTATAATCGTTGCTATGCTTCCCGCGCACTTCCTGGGTGCCAAGTGCCACTTCAAGAGCTTGATATATGTTGACTCATACAAGTTGTGCATCTAGGAACTTGCAAAAATAGAACCTTAAGTGTAATCACAGCTGTCATTTTTCCAGCGCTTAGGGAGTTCTGCCTTTTATTTGCATGAGATCATCAGGTTCTTAGAATAACTCTGTGAGGTAAGACCTGTGATCCATCAATTCATTTAATAGACATCTTTTGAGTACCTGTTGTGCGCTAAGCATTGGGAATATGCCTGTGAATAAAATAAAATCCTTGTCCTCATGAAGCTTATGTGGGAGTGGGACAGGGCCGCTGGTGGGGACAGGCAGTAAACAAGTAAGATGTGGCATATGCTGGATGGTGGAGAAGAATAAAGCAGAGAAAGGGGGAGGGTTCTGGGACGGGGTTGCAGTTTTAAATCATGTCATCCTCCCTGGAAAGGTGACAGACCTGAAGGGGACACCGTGCACGTCCGTGGGAAGAGCCTGCCCGCATCGGGAAGGCCCGAGTGGCTGGCGCAGAGGGAGGCAGGGTGGACCTGGGGTGGTACTCTCGGAGGGGAGCAGAGGGCCAGCTTCCACAGCCTCGTCCAACCTGGCTCTCGCTCTGAGGTGGGAAGTACCCATTCGCAGAAGCTTGGCGCCGAAGCTGCTTTGAAAATAGATGCCTAATTATAAATGATAGTTACCATTTACTGAGCATTTAGTGTGTGCCAAGCCCTGTTCTAAGGCGCTTTACGTGTGTTAACTCATAGAAGCTTGGCAACTAAGAACCTTCACGACTAGACCCTGAATTACCGTAATGGCCATCATTAAGTCAGCGCTCACAGCGGACCAGGCCCTGGGCTAAGCGCTTTGTATGGACAGTCGCCTTGGATCCTGATGAGGTAGGGACTGTTATTTATTTACTCATTCATTCAATACTGATTTGTTGAGCACTTATGAGATGCAGCCACTATTTGGGGAGCTGGTGAACGTGATGAACCAAGATCACTGCCTTTGTGGATGTTATATTATATTGGGGAAGACAGACAGACACTTAATTAGATATTTAAGTAAAATATAAAGTGTGTAAGATTGTTAGAAGGTACTAAGGGCTGTGAAGGAAAAGGGAAGGAGGATGGGGGGAGGCTTGTGTATGTGTGATGGGGTTTCAGAGAGGGTGGTTAGGAAGGCTTCACTGAGAAGGTGACATCAGAGCAGAGAGCTAGAGGAGGGGAAGCAGTGAGCCATGTGACCAGGAACAGCACGTGCAAAGGCCCTGAGGTAGGAGTCTGCTTGGGATGTTTGTGGTAGAGCTCATGGGGCCACGAGGCTGTTGCTAAGGAAGGCAGGCAGAAGACTGATGGGGGGGCAAGGTCAGAGAGGGGCAGAGGGCCAGGCTGTGTAGACCATTATACCAACTGGCTTTCTCTCTCAAGTCTGAATCATCGTTGTAATCCTTAGAAGCACAGAGGCTGCCTCCATGACCATTTTACAGCTGCTGCGACGGGTACAGAGATGCAGAGTTATCTGCATCTGCACAGCTAGTAACTAGCAGAGCTCAGGTTTGATTCCAAACAACCGGATGTAGAGCACACACATTCTTAGCCACTAAGCCACACAGCAGAAATGGCAGTCTGGCTGTCCCCAGCCACCATCTGACTTGCAGAAAAGTATATTTGGTCTCCACAGAGTTTTTGAGGTTTTTAAATCACATTGGTTACCAACATTTAAAAATGGGCAGGTTTTACATAGAAATGGAGGTT